TCTCTCTCTCTCTCTCTCAAAAATAAAAATAAACATTAAAAAAACAAACAAACAAAAAACCAGCCATGGGAACACGCCCAAGCCCGTGGTGTAGGTTGGGACGTGAACCCTGGAGTATTACAGGAGGCGGGGGGAAGTAGGAGCCAGAGACTGGAAAGTCATGCCATTAGCTGGCACAGATCTTCAGGCAAGACAGCCAGACTCTCAGACGGACAATGAGGAGATTGGACCGAGCTGTTCTGTAACTTTCCTGGGTCTGGCTTTCCTTTCATGCCAATTTCCTTCCACCCAACTGAAGACCACTATGTCTGCTCTCACTGTGACCTATGTGCTGGGCTGTGTAAGAGAGCTTGCTCATGTTGTCATGAGACCACGGGTTGGCCAGTTCCCGGATTAGCTTGGAGAAGGGGTGGGGGCTTCTTCCTTCTCAAGGAAACAGAGGTGTCACCTCCATGGTGATATGGCCCCTCGGGGTCCCAGCTCTTCCAGGAGGAAATATATTACTCGCCTCACAGAGGATGTGAGCAGTGTGGGACTGGGTGCAGCCTGGGTGTCTCTCGGATGAATTCTTCCCAGGACAGCGGAACTGACTCGCTTGGTTCTTACTTCCAATAGAGAGCGCCCCTTCTGAGCAGAGTTGAAAGCCAAGGCTCCCACGGGGGTTGGACTCATCCATCTTTGTATTTCTGAAGACTGGCAGATAAGTGTGTGTGTGTGTGGGGGGGGTGTTATACACATATATGGTTTTCTCTTTTTTCAAACAGGGCAGACCCTATAAAGTAGATCAAATCTGAACTGGATCTTAATAAGCAGAAGGCATTGCAGACCAGAGGGTGGTCGTAGAAGGGTTAGCTAGGGAACAGCCTAGAAAAACAGGGGGGTAGGAAGGCACAGGGCACATTGAGAAGGAACGCGATCCGGTTTGCCAAGACTTGAAGCCACGAGGGAAGACAGGCTGAACCGTGCTGTGACAAGCTTTACCAACTTTCCGCAGGCTGGGGGGCTGGATTCGGTGACTGTGGCTGAGCAGGGAATAAGCCAGGTGCCATGCCGAGCGGGAGGCTTACCCAATGGTGGTGTGTACAGGGAGGGGTCGAGGGGGTGAGAGATGAGCCTGGGAAGAAGGTACTGTGGGGTCCGAGTGTGAGGCGAGGAAATGTCTGGCCAAGTGTCGCAGGAGCGGGAACAGAAAGGAAGGAGCAACCGAGAGGGCTGGCAATGATACGCAGTGAGAGGTGGCGGCCAACTGGATGTGTAGTTTACGTGAACAGAAATTCCGGGAGAGGGTGGAGGTGCTGGGGGGG